TATTGGACGGCAGTAAAAAGAGCTGCTTGAAAACTTGACTAATGAACTCGAAGCCTCTATGAACTAGTGGAGGGCTTCTTAGTCACTATAATAACGATAACAGAATTTAAGAAAAAGGGTTCAAGTTGTCAACTGGTTAGAGGAAAAGAGGTCGTGTTAAGTGTCCCTGCATTGGAAGCAGATTCTTCTGCCTTCCTTTATTTTTCTGGTGAAGGAAGCGCACAGCCATTTTATTGCAAGTTAATAGGATTTCTGAGAAAGACCGTGGGGTGCAGCAGTGTTCATTTTCAGTTTTGTCCCCTACATCAGGGGTCTACGGGAAATAGGAGCGTGTCTATGTAATCGGGTTGAATTATTGGGTTTCAATGTTTATTCTTTGTGCATTTAAGCACTTCATCAATCTATTTTTTGGGACATCCTCATCTTATTTGTTGCAATAGCTTTTAACATCTCTGGAATTTTTTTTCTTTTCTCCCAGGAGACAATCTTTTGAATGAGAGCTACTGTTTTTTAACTAACCAGTTAACAACCCGTGTTGTCTGTCCATATTGTGGTGACTGCTGACTAATTTCTTAACAAATGCTAACTGGTGCATCTTATTCTTGGAAATTGACCTTTTTGAAGCAGAAATATTGCGTGTAACCACACTGTTGGGGAATGCGTCAGTATTAGAACAAAGTGGGCTTGTTGAACATGCAAGCCCCCTGGCATCAGGAGGAATGTATTCGAATGGAGGAGCTAATGTGAACAGATGGCCATCACCTTTTCAATCTGAAGTATGGATACTAACTATTAACATAACACTTTGTTTGATCTAATTCTGTACTGTTTTTAAGAAGCTCTCCAGCAGAATCTTTTTACGTTCATCCTAACTTGATTACTTCTTTATAGTGCTTTTAACTTTTAAGTTCCACTTCTCTCGTGACAGGTAGTTGAAGCTAACAAATTCAAGAATGATTACATAGTATTAGGCGAGCATCTCAAATTTGGAATCTCACCGTTATAGTTACATTTGCGTCTCTTATTATGATAAGCCAACTTTCCTTGGACACGCAAGATATATTAACCAGTTTTCAGAATTATATGACACTTAACATTAAAGCTACAGTTCTGCTAGCTAGCTATTGTATATGCTCTTATTATGTGCAAAATATAATGCAGCTTAATGTTGAAGTGCGCCGAACTGAATTGCTGGTTTCACGTCCCCAGTAGCATGCATTTGATAACTCCAATTTTGATCTGTTGAGTTGCATGGTGGAACATTTTTGCAGCTGTATTCTGCTGGACTTTTGAAATGCTTAATGAGATATTTGGTCATTTTTCCCCTTTTCAATTAGAAACAATAAACGGTTATGCACTAAATGAATCAAGGAAAGGAAAGTGTGATATTTTTATATTTTCTGTTCTGACTATACTAGGAAATATAATGTGCAGATGTCAGGATTGGTGAAACCCTCCTCTGCACCAAACTGGCTTGGCTCCCAAGGTAGCTCATCAGGTCTTATTGTCAAGCAAACAATGAGAGTTGATGTTCCCGTGGATCAATATCCTAATGTACTACTTATCTCTATCTCCTCTTAATTTCACAGAGTAGGTTTTCCACAAATCTCACATTTGATATTGGATGCTCCATTTTGCAGTACAATTTTGTTGGACGCCTCCTTGGTCCTAGAGGAAACTCTCTTAAGCGAGTGGAAGCAACTACAGAGTGTCGTGTTTTGATCAGAGGGCGAGGCAGCATCAAAGATCCAGCTAGAGTAATATTAATATTGTTTTCTTTAAGTGTTGATGAGATATGATGTCTATAGTGCATTAGTGCAGACATTTAGTTTCATCAACTTTTATCTGAATGGGAACCTTTTTTGTGTGTGTTATTTTTTTCATTTTCAAATTGTTTTCCTTCTTTTTTGATTATATTGTAAATTAAAGATTATATTTGTACAAGCTTGGGCTTTGTCTGGAATAGTAGCTAAGCGAGTCAACAGTAACTTGACAAATTTTGGAATGAGTTATTTTTGTTGTTTTTCCTACGTTGTTCATTTTGTCCTTTGGTGGAGAAGTGAACTTACTGATCAATACTGAGCAAACTCAGGCTTCCTCAGTGCGGTGCTAGTTTCTTTAAATTTTCGTGGTGTTCTTTCTTGAACGCTAACTCTTGACCTAATGTTTGTGTGTGTTATTGAGGATGTTCTTGTGGTTGTTCTGATTCCTAGATAGATTGCCAATATTATGTGGAGTTTGATGCTCGTCATTCTGAGTTTAGCATAAAAATAATTCATGTTATGGAAAATGTCGGAGTAGGCCGTTCTATGATTTAATTGTGACATCAAAGGTCTTCAGTTGGTTCTTGATATTGAAATTCCTCAAGATGTTACTTGCAAGCATTAGGGAAATCCTTTGGTTAGTTGAAAATCTTGGTTTTTTACCATGACAAATAATGAAGTTAGCTATATCAGCACTCATTTCTGTGTACAACTTTGTGCCGGTTTTCATTATTGCTATTCCTTATATTTGGCCCTGGTAGCTCTTGTTGCAATTCAGCAATCTAATAGGGTGTCTTTTTTTCTTTTTCTTTTTTTTTTTTTTAAATCTGAAGGAAGAGATGATGAGAGGGAAACCGGGTTATGAGCACCTGAATGAACCTCTTCACATACTTGTTGAAGCTGAATTGCCAGTTGAGGTAATTGATGCTCGGCTAATGCAGGCTCGTGAGATACTAGAGGATTTGCTAAAGCCAATGGTAAACTTTGACCTTATTATAATCCATTACCTTATTCTCCATAGGATATTTGACTCCTGATTTTAACTGCTCAAGTTTAGAGCTTGTCTGGCTAAGCTTCAAAAAAGGTATTCTAGCTTGTTTCCCAACGTGTTTGAATAACTCTCACTCTTTAATTTTTTCAAAGTAACTTCCATGACCAATACTACTTTATTAGTCTTAGAACTTATTAATTACTTACAAGTAAACTTTTTAAGCTCACTCACTGTTGTAAATCTTTATATTTCTTAATTAAATAAAAGCAGGATGAATCTCAAGATTTCTATAAGAAGCAGCAGCTGCGGGAACTTGCAATGATCAATGGTACACTTCGTGAAGATGGCTCTCAAATGTCCAGTTCTGTGTCCCCCTTCCACAACAGCCTCGGGATGAAGAGAGCAAAAACTCGGGGGTAGTCGAGCTTATGTATTTTTCTCTGCTGCTAAACAGCACTTCCTATGCCGCATATGTTGCAGTGCCAGCAAACTGCCATCGGGGCACCAGCACTTTTAAGTGTCAGTTCTAACTTGTCTCTATGTGATATCAGGTGTGTTTATGTTTGGCTTGGGAAGATATAGTAAATGTATTTCGAACTAATGGGCCCTTCGGGGCTGGGGGGTGTGTGTGCGTATGTTGCTGAAGGCAGTTTGGTTAGAACATTCTCTATCCAACGATTTATTTTATTTTATTGCATTTGTTGTAAGTTTGTATCGAGAGTTTTGGTGATATGGGCAAGTCTAAGAATGTGATTTTTATGCCAAAGTGATCCACCCTACTGCTCTTAAGATGGGTTGGCGTGTTTTGTACCAATTGTAGATTTGCAACTAAAAGGATTTTTAAAGCATTCTGTTTCTGCGTGATCGTATTATAATTGTTCTGTGATTTTATTTGATTGGGTTATTCTTGGGGTACATAGAAGGGCGCTCCACGAACACCCTTATGTAATTCTATTTGATTTCTACTTGTAAGTTCTGGTTATCAATATTTTATATATGGACGATCATTAGTGTCGGTCAATTCCATTCCAGGACTTGGGACGAAGTTTAATCCAAGTCACGGAACTTTAACATTTCGCACTTTCCATTGTTTGAGCTCATTTGGCCTTGGCTTTTAAGAAGTCAAATGGAGTTTTTAAGATTCAAAAATTGTTTTTATTTCGGATTTGTTTGAATAATTTTATGAAAGTGCACTTCATGACTTTGAGAATAGGAAGTTCATTTAAAAGTTAATTTACAAACAAAAATTAAAATAGCTTTTTTCAATAGTTTTTTTGTAGAAAGTAAAAGTCATACCTAACGGTCCCTTTATTAATCTTTGGAAGTGCCTATGTCCTCATAAAGTTGGCAATATTGTTACAAGTACAGAATTTTTTGATAGAAAATTTTTACAGATAACACGGTACGACTTTATTGAAAGATGGGGAAAAAAATAAAAAAAGTTTAATCTCGTGTTGTCACATCAGCTTCGGTACAAATTTGGAAAATGTTTTTCCCTGAAGTTAGATAACGACTTGGACAAAGTTGCTCGTCTAGGGGCGCACGTGGCTCTGGACATATAGCAAGGCTCTAGTGACTTTGATGAAAAATCAATTTTGTAAGAATTTTAGCTCGCTCAGGAAAAAACGTGTGTAATTTTCTCACAAGTAAACGTTCAAATTTCTATTATCCATCTATTAAAGAAATCATGAAAAATGCACCTTTGCTGCAGGAAACAGCCTAACAATGCAGCAGATACGTGGCATTTCATCTTATTGAATGTTTATCCAGTTGGGTTTTCATCTGCAGTCTATTTACAGAACAAAATCTTAAAACCATGAGTCTGATACCGTGTTCATGTCAAACTACCATATATTATTGGCTAGGCAACAAGCTGTTCCGCTACGGAAGAATCTGACTTGAAAATCTTGGATCAGACATCATCTTCCTCAGCGTCATCCTCAGCATCTTCAATTCCAACCCAACGCGTAAAAGCAAAAAGAAACTCCTTGAAGTTCACCATTCCATTTTTATCCCAGTCCATTTCTTCTGAAATAACAGAGACGAAGGGTGCTGTTAGCGGCTCTAGAGTGTAGATAAATGTAAAGAAATTTATCCATAAAGTCGAGTTCCAGAAGATAATACCATGAAATGAACCTGAGTTTTGATATGTTGACAACCAACCTTAAAGTGCATAATATTATTCCTTACATGATCTTAAAAATTTCACGTGTGCGACTGTGATGAACCTACGAATGTAAATTGATAACATTTTGAAAAACAAGGCATACAGCTAAAAATTGTACATCCAGCTTGTCTCGTGGTTTTGATCTTTTTTGATGTCAGTAGTTTAGATATAAAATGTCGAATACAGTAACTCGGTTTTAATAAGATCTAATGGTGAGAAAGAGCCTGTACACTGTGTTACTGCATTTGAACATGCTATGTTCAAATTGTGCATATATATAACACACACACACTCACAACGTGAGGGAGGGAGGGCAGATAGAGTACTGACCAAATCTTTTCAGGGCTATTCTCCCAGAAGATCGTTCTCCTGAAGTAGTTTCATTTATGGCTACAACCATCTCATTCTTGCTAACGTAACCATCCTTGTTCTTGTCCAAAAACACAAATGCATCAACTAATGTTTCAAAAGTAGCTTCAAGATTTGGCATTCCAATTCGAGATTTCTATAAATTATCAAGGAATTAACAGACAGGAAGGTAAATTCAGGGAATATAACAGAAAAAATAATAATAATAATAATAAATAAAAATCGCTCTGAGTCATTCAGATATCCAGAACCTCAAGCATAATCTGCAAACATATCCAAAAGAGAGAGCCAACAATTCAGAGAATCTATCGGTGAGCCTTCCTTTGTAACCTCATCTTCTAATCTCGAAGAAAACAAAAATAGAGAACTTGAAGTTCAATGTGTTCTAAATTCAAGATGTTCTTCAAGACACCTGGATCCAATAAGGGTTCAGACCATGCCAAAATAAATTTCAAGATAGGATCGACCTAATGGTTTCTTTAATGCCACGTTAAAAGAAAGATATGTTCCATAACTTTCTCGTCCCGAACAAAACTAAGAACGTAGATGAGACAAACTAAGAGCATCGGTGTTCTCTATTGAGGGAGAACTTATGCAACCTTACAAGTATGAACAAGAAAATGTGCACGTGGAAGAAGAAGAAAAGTTGAAATCTTTACAATGCTGGACTATAAAACACTCCAAAGATGAAAGATAGACAAGCTTATTTAATGCATACACAAGTTAATAGCAACACATTTCATGAATTAGGTAAATTACTAACAGGATGTTTCCCTAAGCTAAGCTTATAAAAGATTAACATAAACAAGTTAATTTAAAATAAATAATTTATTTTAAAGGTCAAAAACAGAAAATAATTTAAGTTATTTTGAATGTAAGAGAGACTTCAAAATATGTGACTCTTTTCATTTACAATAATAAAAATTTACTTAAAAGCAACTCTCATTTACTTTTAAGCTTAGTGAAAAATGCTGTAAATACGAACTACAAGAGGATTAAATAAACTCAATACAATAGGATACAGCATGTGAGGCAGTAGGATCATCTTTCAGAAGGTAGACAAGGCAAAGAAGGACGATAAATTCATTGAAATTCATTCCCTTGTCCTCATTAATATCACATGCTTCGAAAAGATCATTGATTTCTTCATCTGTGAAATTAATTTCCAATTCGCAGAAACAGTGCTTCAGCTCTTGCGGGTCTATCGCACCACTTCCATCCTCATCTATGCAGAAATAGAGGGAGAGAGGGAGAGAGAACAAATCATTATTAAAATCACTATTCAAATTATGAATTACCGAAGTAATCTACAAAAAAGAAACTGCCTCCAGCGGGTTCTCCTGATATCTAATACTAAGGCAATCTGTGGTCAGCATCTAATTATCTATCAATCAAAGGACACCTACCAAACTTTTCGAATGTAGCTTTGCATTTTCTAAAGCTCTCATCAATTTTGGGAAATTTTAAGATAATGCTGTTAAACGATTTCAAGGAACTCCCATTAGTTTCTCTCCTCTTCATTGCCTCGATCACTTTGGCCTCGAGCTTTGTCTCTGGTATTGAAGCATTAGGAGATTCACTCTTACCCTGTACACCTCCCATTGTCAATTACCTCTACAAACCGGAATTGTGTTAAGAGCACCTGCACCAAATATGTACACGGAGTTAAAAAGGCACATCTACTTACTGGCTTAAATAGAGAAATGTGCATGGGTGACCCCGAAAAACGAGGGACGGAACCGGGCACCAGGAAGCACGTTTGGTTGTGCTTATAAGATACTTTTCTAGAAAGTAAATTTTGTTAACAACTAAACATTATCTTTCACGTATTCATTCACAAATCACAATTATATGTCCATAATTTCCATACAACTTCAAAGGTATCTTCAGTCAGCTCAAACTAACGATGATTCTCACCCCACCCCTCAAAAATTAAGAGGATTTACATTCACATCATATTGGGGTTCTGAACAGTTGAATAATAAGATATCTGAACAAAAAATCTATCGCATACTATTTTAACTTCCAACCACCAACCTGAAACGGAATTGCATTTTGCAAACAGAGGATCTCACGCATAATGGAAAATTTAACATAATTTTATTGCCGAACGAGATTAGTTTAGTCGGAGAAGCTTAATCATTTCTAAAGCCAGATCAGTTTAAAGATAATCTCTTAACGAAACCAAGTTTTTCTACTAGCACTCCTTTATTTTCATTAGCTAAAGGTAAAGTGCGTAGTAAACATATTTTCAGCAATTTTTCCTATGTATTCCAGCAGTCAAACGGAAGAAGAACTGATCTTCTACAGCTACATAGAATATTAGAACAAAAATTTAAATCTAAATCCACAATATAGAACCACAGACAAAAAAGAAATCTACAAAAGGGATGACCTGATTACCTTTGAATGAAGCCAAATACACAAAAACCTGATTCGTCGTAGCTTAATATAAACAGACAGGATCACCAGCCTTTCTTGTTTATATTTTAATCAAAATCAAGCGGAAACATATATAACTGATAAATGATATGAAAATTTTCTCGAAATTGAAGATTTCTGAAAAATTTATAAGGCGTTGAAATCCGAATTTGGCCGGCGAAGGGCTTTGTTAATTTATAAATTATGGGTCCCCATTGATTTGTTTATGTTAATCTCCACGTTTTGCGCTGCGCCCACTACGTAATGTGGCGCTTCACGATCTAGGCATTAGCGTTCCGTTTGTTTATGAGCTTCAAATTTTTAATTTATAAGTTAACAATTTTTTATTTTTTGGGATTAACTTATTTATCTTAAGTTGTTTTTACATGTTATTATGTTTGAAGTCCGGTGATAACTAAATCAGAAAACTATGACACTTAGATACTTTTAATCATTGGAATTTAGATAAGTATGAATAGTAATTAGTTAGGGAACACCGTATAAATTTTCCATTTAAGCATTACATTTCAAAAGTAACAAACTTTTAAAACTCTTTCAAAAATCAAGTGATAATTAAATTTGTTAAACATTTAATTATAATATAATATAATTAACGTACCCCACTCTAACACATCCATCCATCACATTACACCTCTCTTTCTCTCTACATCCCACCTCCAACAATTGCTCCATTGACCCCACCCCCACCCCACCTCCGGCGACTTCTCCGACAACAATTCCTTTGCGACGAATATTCCGATGACCTCCCGTCGATGGTTCTGATGACCGTTCCAGCGACTATTTCGATGACCGCTCACCATTCTTTCAACTACCTTTTTTCTTTTCTCTTCATTTTTAACAATGACCCGTGATCAGATCCATTAGATATATAACCTGTGCACATTGTGATTTGTGACTAATTTTATTGGATCTATGACCTAATCAGGTGGATGAATATGCATATGATCAATTTCAAAATTAAAAAATAAAATTTTGAAATTTCAATAATCAAATACTAATAAAATTTTAATTATGAAATAATTAATCAATTTTTTTAATTAAATATACTAAATTCACAAATCTATATAATTTGATCATAAATTATCGAATTAATTGGTGTTGGTAAAGTGGTGCCAGCGATGTGGTGGTGACTATGCTTCCCAGCGCTGGCTAGAGAGAGGAGAGATGGGATAGAGAAAAAAGTGGTTTGGTGGAAATGTTGAAGTTGTTGAGTGTGGTGTTGGGGAGGTGTTGCCGCGCGGTATGGCGACTGCGCTTCCTAACATTGGCCAGAGAAAGCAGAGGCAGGATAGAGAGAGAAAATGATAATGGATGAAGATATTAGGGTTTTAGTGTGAGTGGTTGGGTATGTGTTAGGTGGGATGAATGTGTATATTTAATGTTGTAATTATATTTCTATTAGTTTTAATTATTAAAATTTAATCACACCTGATTATTGAAAATGAAAATTAATCCCTTATGTTTTGAAAATTAATCTTTAAATGTTGGTTTGTAGGTAATTTTCCCAATTAATTATAAATGTGCGATTGACATTAATATTTTATTTTAATTGAATTTATATAATTATTTATAAATTTTTATTTAAACAGAGGCTTATGTACTCCATGTGTAGTTAGAAAACAAGTTTTCTTTTTTCATAACAAATATTGAAGAAATATGTAGTTAAAAAGTTAATAAATCTTGAGAAATATATAATTAAAAATTATTGCTAACTTTGATTTAATTTTTTTATCAAATTTTTAAGCCACCCAAACTTCTTTTCACTAATTTTATATGTCTTCTTCATTTATTAAATACAACCTTTTATGAAAATAATATGTTCTAAAATTCTCTCTCTAACAAATCTTTAAGGGTATGTTTGATTGTGTGTTTTTTTTTTAATGAAAAATGTCATTTTTATCCAAATTTCTACTATTAGGATTTTTAATTGACATTTTCTTCATGAAAAATATATTTTCAAAAGTTTATTACGTGATCATATTTTTCTCAAAACAAGAAAAATATTTTCTTTTTGGGGTAAGTTTTTATTTTTTTAGACAATTCACGCTTTCCAAAAACTCAATTTTATGAAAAATTACAATATTTTCCAGATTGAAAATTAAGGCTATCAAACATATTTAATTGATAGTTTTTATGCAAATAAATTCTAGACAATTCAATTATCTAAAATTTATTTATTTTTTAATAATAATTTTATGCTGGTAATCAATCACATTCTAAGTTCCTATAGGTGAATGTAGCGCGGGAACTGGGCCGTATTGATTTGCCAGGCTTGGACGTGAATCCATTTAATACTTGTGCTAGTTTTCTTTTAGTCTCACGCGTCTGTTTGACTTCCAATTTTCAAAGACAAACACTTTATAATAATGTGACATTTTGATATAAGTTGAGAAAATACTGGAGACCTACTGTACCACTTTTAGTTGTCTGCATTTATTTTGTTATGTTACACGTGTTTAATTAAAAGTAGAGGATTTATCTCAAACTCGCCATTGAATATAGTTATTAGAATGAAATGGAGACAATATTTGATATTTTTAGTTTCTTTTTGTATTTTAATTTTGTCTTGTACACTTACCGTATTTTATTGAACTTGTTGACAATATCATTTATTTTCGTCGTCACATCGAGCTTTTCTTTTTGAAGGATGTTTACTCTTCTTATCAAAGAGAAACAGCTATATTAAATAGTAGAATTTGATCTGTGAATGCATACTATTAGCTATCGAGAGTTCAACAACTTGATTTTACTACTTTTAAGAAGTTTTAGTTTAATTCACTCATTTTTCAATCGATCATTTAAATAAAATCAGGATTATTAATTTCGATACTTAGTAGCAGTGTTCTAAAAGGCACGTCTAGGCGCGACGCGCATTGAAAACGCCAAGCAAAGAGGGTAGGCACGTAATTTAGCATTCAACGGTTTTGATCGCTAATTCATGCCTTGGCGCGCATAATTGCGCCAAGGCGTGCATTACCATTTTTCCTTCTTTTTTTTTTTTTTTAAATCACTCTTCTTTTAAGTTTTAAACTAAAAATTAAAGCTCAATTTTTATTTTACAGTGACCTAATTGAAGAGTGAAGACAACCTCCCGAAACTCCCAAAAATTCCTCTTCGACTGCAACATTTCGGCACTCTCTTTACAATGGTTGCCTGCTCGGTCGTCTTCAGCAAACAATTTCTAGTTTCTATATGTCGGTAAGTCAGGTAGAAAATGGGAAACTATTGCTTGTTGAAGAATTAGTGGATTTAACGGTTGAAGAATTTCCAATTTCCAACTAAAAATTTAACCGTTGCTTGCTCGGTTGTCTTCAACTCTCTTCCAACTGTTGTTTTTTGTTTTTATTTTTTTGATAGTGGGTTTATACTTTATAATATTGTCTCCATAGTGGGGGTTTATAAAAATACAAAAAATAGAAACTGAAAGAGACAATGGGGTTTTCTCTAGTAAGTGAGTTAATGGAGTTGTGGGCCTTGTGACTAATGAAAGAGACACCGGTTAATTTACGGTAGAGTCCATAGTGGAGTTTTTCGTTTTCTCTAGTGCACTGTACACTATCAATTTTACCAATTCTTTTTTCATATCAAATAGGGGTTGGTAGGTGAATAAAAGTATCATGAATTTGTTAGGCAGTGTTTGATAACACTGCAATTCCTAGGAAATTTCACAAATTCCATTGTTTGATTGCACATTTTTGCCATGGAAATCAATTTCCAGGTTTTGCTGCCACGCGCCTAAATTCCTTGTTTTTGAGGAATTTCAATTCTTATGGGTTTGGTAAGAATTGGAATTCCATGCAATTTTTTTTATTTATTCTTTTTTGTTAGCAATGAAAATGAATTCTAAGATTTATTGTAAAAAAATATTTCCTTTTATTTGACAATTTTCATGTAAAACAAAACCAAAGGAACACCCAAAGATAGATGATTTTCTTGAATTTTTTTATTTTTTTTTAATTTTGGCATTGGAAACAAATTTCATTCCCAATACCAGTAAATTCTATCCCTTTAATTGACAATTTTCGTATAAAACAAAGTCAAATGGACATCAAAAAACACTTTCATTTAAACATTTTCCACGTGAAAAATTATACCAATCAAACACAATAATTTACATTTCCCAAAAAAACATTTTCCCATCAATTCAATTCCCTGGAATTTATTTTCTTTCCACTCAAATTTCACCTTTACAATCAAACAGACCCTTAGTGTATTTGTGAATTGTGAATTTGTGATCATTATAGTATTGAGCATCCTTGATCAATATAATGTTCAATATGTATAATTAATAATTATTAAATATTTTTTTGATTAAAAATTTAAAATAATATTAAAATAAGCAAAATGCTTTTTCACGTTTGTTTACGCATTTGTCTCGCCTAATCTCGCCTACCCTTTAGCTTGGGATCAACGCATCGCCACACATTACACTTTTTAGAACACTACTTAATAGCACAGTACTTACAAAATCGATGATGGACTCACAATCCACTGTACTTGTTGCAATGTCATGCACTTATGATTTACCGATCACTTTTCTCTCTTCCCTATACACCACCATGATGCATGTGCACTCTTATTGTGTCGGCATGTCCTGTTCGATGTTTATTGTGTCATACCTCAACACTCGAATAGTCAAGGACTTATATCCAACAAACCATGTGCCTCTGTTTTTATTTACTAAGGAGGTAACCTTGTAAATTACTTGAAACGTTTTCTCATCGTTTCACTTTAAGTTTATCAAATTCTAATCGTAAGGTATGTAGAAGTATCTTGTCACATTACCTTCTCATTATTCTTGTGTTGTTTGTAAAATCTCTTCTGAAGTTTCCATTTCCGAGATTTGATCAAATGACATTTTTTTATTATCTGGTAAATTTTAAAAGGAGTTTACTGTCTTCTTCTTTTCAACAAAACCTTTTTTGTGCTTGGCTCAACCTATCTTGAGTCTATGAGCTTTGATAAAAAAATTCCGTAGTTGAGATGATTTAAGCTGTTGATTTACTAAAAGTGCAGCCCAAATCAAATAGCCCAAAGAGTGAATCCCAATTGGGAATCCAGGATAAAGGTCCAAACAGAATTATTGATGAATGCGGTGGAAGCCCACGAACACGGTAACATCATCGCCCAAGCTTGCAAGACGCTCAGAATCTGAGCGAATAGCATACCTTACGGTCGCCCAGAGCGGTGACCACGTTCTCGCCCAAACCTTCAAATCGCCCGGGATCTTGGCAAGCATAAAACATTATAATTATCCAGAATAGC